CATTTTGGGAACTCAGTTTTCGGGACACTGCTTGCGATTTATTATTTTGGGGGCTCAGTTTTTCAAAAAAAATAAGGGGACACTGCTTGCAATTTGTCATTTGGGAGCTTGATTTCAAAAAAACTTAAGACTTAAGGGGACACTACTTGCGATTTGTCATTTTGGGAGCTCAGTCCTTGAAGACCCCGAAGGCCCTGTCTAAATCCCCCGGTTATCCTGGAAGGAAACAGTCAAGGCCTGTAGATCTGCAGCCTTAAACTTCGAGCTCCCCGCCCCCTTTAGCCAGTCTAAAACCCCCGCCCCCCCAGAAGCAAACAACTTAAGGCTTAGGGGGACACTACCTGCGATTTGTCATTTTAGGAGCTTAGTTAAAAAAAAAACTTGAAAGGACACTGCTTGCGATTTGTCATTCTGAGAGCTTAGTTTTCAGAAACTTAAGGGGACACTGCGCCAATTCTCAGAAAACATAGAGAAAAAGGGGACACTACCTGCGATTTGTCATTTTAGGAGCTTAGTTAAAAAAAAACTTGAAAGGACACTGCTTGCGATTTGTCATTCTGAGAGCTTAGTTTTCAGAAAACTTAAGGGGACACTGCGCCAATTCTCAGAAAACATAGAGAAAAAGGGGACACTACCTGCGATTTGTCATTTTAGGAGCTTAGTTAAAAAAAAACTTGAAAGAACACTGCGTGCGATTTGTCATTCTGAGAGCTTAGTTTTCAGAAAACTTAAAAAGACACTGCGCCAATTCTCAGAAAACATATAGAAAAATATATTTGATTAATTTCATTAATTTAATCGGTCGATAATACAACTAATTAAATTAATTAAATTAATTAAATTAATTAAATTAATTAAATTAATTAAATTAATTAAATTAATTTAATTAATTAAATTAATTAAATTAATTAAATTAATTAAATTAATTAAATTAATTAAATTAATTAAATTACAAAAATTTAAAATTCCATTAAATTCCATTCAATGCAATTAAATTCCATTAAATTCATTAAATTAATTAAATTACTTAAATTCTAGTAATTAGTAAAATGAATTAAATTAATTAAATTAATTAAAATTATTACAATTATTCAATTTATTTTCTTTAAATTTTTTTCGAATTCAATTAATTTAAATTAATTTAATTGGTCCGACCAATTAATTAATCAAATTAATTAAATTAATTAAAATTATTTTTCAATTTCTTCGAATTCCATTATTTCATTGGTCTGTTAAGTGAAGTGATCAAATCCTCAGGAAACTGCTCGAAAATACTTCAATTAATTTAAGTAATTTAATTATTTAATTACTTTAATTAATTTAATTAATTTAAGTTAATTTAATTACTTTATTAATTTAATTGATTTAATTACAAGTATATTATTTAATTATTACTTCAATTTAAATTGTAGTTAATTAATTACTATAAATTAATTAAATTACTTAGATTAATTAAATTAATTAAATTAAGTAAAATAATTAAATTAAATAACTTGTTTTTTCAATTTCTTCGAATTCAATTAATTTAATTAAGTTAATTGGTCGACCAATTAAATCATTAAATTGTTTACATTAATTAAATTCATTAAAATATTTTTTCAATTTCTTCGAATTCGATTAATTTAATTAATTTAATTGGTCTGTAATTGAAGTGGTCAATCCTCAGGAAACACCTCGAAAAAAAACTTAATTAATTTAATTAATTTAACTAATTTAATTAATTTAATTGTAGGTTAATTAAAATTAAATTAATTAATAATTAAAATATTTTTTCAATTTCTTCGAATTCAATTAATTTAATTAATTTAATTGGTCGACCAATTAAATTAATTAAATTAATTAATTTATTACATTATTTTTTCAATATCTTGGAATTCAATTAATTTAATTAATTTAATTGGTCTGTAATTGAAGTGGTCAATCCTCAGGAAACACCTCGAAAAATAATTCAATTAATTTAATTAATTTAATTAATTTAGTTAATTTAATTGTAGGTTAATCAAATTAATTAAATTAATTTAATTAATTTAAGTATTTTTTCAATTTCTTCGAATTCAATTAATTTAATTAATTTAATTGATCGACCAATTAAATTAATTAAATTAATTAAATTATTTTTTCAATTTCTTCGAATTCAATTAATTTAATTAATTTAATTTGTCGATTAATTAAATTAATTAAATTAATTAAATTAATTGAATTATTTTTTGAGGTGTTTCCTGAGGATCAAATAAAGAATCTACCCGACAATTAAATTCATAAAATTAATTAAATTAATTAAATTATTTTTTTCAATTTCTTAGAATTCAATTAATTTAACTAATTTAATTGGTCTGGAATTGAAGGGGTCACTCCACAGGAAACACCTCGAAAAAATAATTCAATTAATTTAATTAATTTAATTAATTTATCTAATTTAATTAATTTAATTAATTTAATTGTAGGTGAATTAAATTAATTAAATTAATTACATTAATTAAATTATTTTTATAATTTCTTCGAATTCAATTAATTTAATTAATTTAATTGTAGGTGAATTAAATTAATTAAATTAAATTATTTTTTCAATTTCTTCAAATTCAATTAATTTAATTAATTTAATTGTAGGTTAATTAAATTAATTAAATTAATTAAATTAATTAAATTAATCAAATTAATTAAATTAATTAAATTAATTGAATTATTTTTTGAGGTGTTTCCTGAGGATCAAATAAAGAATCTATCCGACAATTAAATTAATTAAATTAAAATTAAACTATTTTTTCAATTTCTTCGAATTCAATTAATTTAATTAATTTAATTGGTCTGGAATTGAAGGGGTCACTCCTCAGGAAACACCTCGAAAAATAATTCAATTAATTTAATTAATTTAATTAATTTAATTAATTTAATTGTAGGTGAAGAAAAATTAATTAATTAAATTAAATTAATTAAATTATTTTTTAATTTCTTCGAATTCAATTAATTTAATTAATTTAATTGTAGGTGAATTAAATTAATTAAATTAATTACATTATTTTTTCAATTTCTTCGAATTCAATTAATTGAATTAATTTAATTGGTCGACCAATTAAATTAATTAAATTAATTAAATTAATTGAATTATTTTTTGAGGTGTTTCCTGAGGATCAAATAAAGAATCTATCCGACAATTAAATTAATTAAATTAATTAAATTAATTAAATTAATTAAATTAATTAAATTATTTTTTCAATTTCTTAGAATTCAATTAATTTAATTAATTTAATTGGTCTGGAATTGAAGGGGTCACTCCACAGGAAACACCTCGAAAAAATAATTCAATTAATTTAATTAATTTAATTAATTTAATTAATTTAATTATTTAATTGTAGGTGAATTAAATTAATTAAATTAATTAAATTAATTAAATTATTTTTTTTAATTTCTTCGAATTCAATTAATTTAATTAATTTAATTGTAGGTGAATTAAATTAATTAAATTAATTAAATTATTTTTTCAATTTCTTCGAATTCAATTAATTTAATTAATTTAATTGTAGGTTTTTTAAATTGATTAAATTTATTAAATTAATTAAATTAATTGAATTATTTTTTGAGGTGTTTCCTGAGGATCAAATAAAGAATCTATCCGACAATTAAATTAATTAAATAAATTAAATTAATTAAATTATTTTTTCAATTTCTTCGAATTCAATGAATTTAATTAATTTAATTGGTCTGGAATTGAAGGGGTCACTCCTCAGGAAACACCTCGAAAAATAATTCAATTAATTTAATTAATTTATTTAATTTAATTAATTTAATTAATTTAATTGTAGGTGAATTAAATTAATTAAATTAATTGAATTAATTAAATTAATTTTTTAATTTCTTCGAATTCAATTAATTTAATTAATGTAATTGTAGGTGAATTAAATTAATTAAATTAATTAAATTATTTTTTCAATTTCTTCGAATTCAATTAATTTAATTAATTTAATTGTAGGTTAATTAAATTAATTAAATTAATTAAATTAATTAAATTAATTAAATTAATTAAATTAATTAAATTAATTGAATTATTTTTTGAGGTGTTTCCTGAGGATCAAATAAAGAATCTATCCGACAATTAAATTAATTAAATTAATTAAATTAATTAAATTATTTTTTCAATTTCTTAGAATTCAATTAATTTAATTAATTTAATTGGTCTGGAATTAAAGGGGTCACTCCACAGGAAACACCTCGAAAAAAATAATTCAATTAATTTAATTAATTTAAATAATTTAATTAATTTAATTGTAGGTGAATTAAATTAATTAAATTAATTAAATTAATTAAATTATTTTTTTAATTTCTTCGAATTCAATTAATTTAATTAATTTAATTGTAGGTGAATTAAATTAATTTAATTAAATTATTTTTTCAGTTTCTTCGAATTCAATTAATTTAATTCATTTAATTGTAGGTTAACTAAATTAATTAAATTAATTAAATTAATCAAATTAATTGAATTATTTTTTGAGGTGTTTCCTGAGGATCAAATAAAGAATCTATCCGACAATTAAATTAATTAAATTAATTAAATTATTTTTTCAATTTCTTCGAATTCAATTAATTTAATTAATTTAATTGGTCTGGAATTGAAGGGGTCACTCCTCAGGAAACACCTCGAAAAATAATTCAATTAATTTAATTAATTTAATTAATTTAATTAATTTAATTAATTTAATTGTAGGTGAATTAAATTAATTAAATTAATTAAATTAATTAAATTAATTAAATTAATTAAATTAATTTTTTAATTTCTTCGAATTCAATTAATTTAATTAATGTAATTGTAGGTGAATTAAATTAATTAAATTAATTAAATTATTTTTTCAATTTCTTCGAATTCAATTAATTTAATTAATTTAATTGTAGGTTAATTAAATTAATTAAATTAATTAGATTAATTAAATTAATTGAATTATTTTTTGAGGTGTTTCCTGAGGATCAAATAAAGAATCTATCCGACAATTAAACTGGAATTGAAGGGGTCACTCCTCAGGAAACACCTCGAAAAATAATTCAATTAATTCAATTAATTTAATTAATTTAATTAATTTAATTGTAGGTGAATTAAATTAATTAAATGAATTTTTTAATTTCTTCGAATTCAATTAATTTAATTAATGTAATTGTAGGTGAATTAAATTAATTAAATTAATTAAATTATTTTTTCAATTTCTTCGAATTCAATTAATTTAATTAATTTAATTGTAGGTTAATTAAATTAATTAAATTAATTAAATTAATTAAATTAATTGAATTATTTTTTGAGGTGTTTCCTGAGGATCAAATAAAGAATCTACCCGACAATTAAATTAATTAAATTAATTAAATTAATTAAATTATTTTTCAATTTTTTCGAATTCAATTAATTTAATTAATTTCATTGTAGGTCAATTAAATTAATTAAATTAATTAAATCATTTTCTTAATTTCTTCGAATTCAATTAATTTAATTAATTTAATTGGTCAATCAGTTCAATTAATTAAATAAATTAAATTATTTTCTCAATTTTTTCACATTCAGTATTCTTTATTGAATTTAATTAATTTAATTGTTTAAATTAATTTAATTATTATTCATAGTACTAACAACAGCCACGACGCAAAATAGACCCTAAAGGTCCCTCTCTCATATATATATATACACACATATATATATATATGTGCGTGTGTGTATGCAATGCGTCTTCGTTTGAAAAAAGCAAGGCTTGGACTGAAGTCGGTTTCGTGAGGTGTTAAGATTTCAGGGTTTGGACTTCGGCACGCCAGGCCTTGCGGCGGATCTCATCGACGTCGGCCTTGCCAAGCTGCATTGCCCAGGGCCCGCACACGAAGCAATAGAATCGAAAACCTGTAAGAAGCTGCACACCACCCCTCCGCATCCCCCGCATGGTTCCCAAGACTATTTTTCACTCCCGAACCCTGAACCTGCTCTGATGCGAATCCCCGTAAGGCCCGCCGCGAGGCCTCCTTCGAGGGCTTGACGGCAAGCAGGGCGGATTCCAGCGTGCCATCCTGCAATGTACATCCCCAAAAAGAACTCTCAGGAAAAAACTTTCTCTCAGATCATTCAAGATCACGGTGGCACATTCCCCGCGGCCTTGCGGCAGTTGCTTTGATGATGGGAGTATGTGAGGATGTGGCAAACTCGGTGTTTTGATCAGCTGCCTAGCCGCCTCACACCAAACTGCAAAGATGCAAAAGGTGGTTTCAGATTCTGGCTTCGAAACTAATTTTTGACTCGCCGTTGAGAATCGCAGTCCCCTCCCTGACAACAGGAAAAAGAAACAAACTCCATAACTAATCACGTTTCCAAGCCAGGCTTCTGCACAACAGGGTTAAAGCAACTCTGGAGGGAAGCATTTCTTTTGCAAGAGGTCAACGGCTCAGTTGACAGGGATAGGAACTTTTGAGAGCTGCTTGAAGCTTTTTCCATCAGGGCAACCCTGGCTCCAAGAAAACCCTCCAAGCCATACCCCACGACTACAGCTCACCAGACCCATGGATGCTTGCAACGACGGGTTTTAATGGGAGGTCAACATCCGGCCTGACTTGGAATTTCCTTATGACGGCAATTGACGCCGCCTGCACCTGGAAGGTGTGCCCTCTGCAAGCTTTTACGTCCCTGCAAGCAGGCACCTCAACAAGCAGAACAAGGAAGCTGTCACGAATACGTGTCCCAGCATTTAAGCATCTAGGCCGTCCTCGGCGGCCCTCAGCAATGACCGGGCTGCGGCCTGGCGTATGGCCTCGATGTCCTGGCGACAAATCGCCACATTCGATGCCACAGTCAGGAGCAGGGAAGGTGCTTTAGATGCCCTTTCTCTGATCTCGCTGATACCAACGGCTTACAACCACCTCCAAAACGTCCAATTCGTTCTAGGACTGACAGGGTACACCCGGCGATGCAAGCACAGGCACCTTGTCGCCAGACTTGGTGCCTTAACACTTGCAACCGGTGGCAAATCAAGCGGCGTGCGTGGTTTTGGACTCTTGCACTTTCATGGAATAATCTCACCCACGTCACACTTGATACCCATAGCACACGAGACCCGTGACGAGGCTATACAGGTCGGGAGGTTGGGAGGTTGGACGATGTTGAGGCTCAACAGTGTGGGATTGTGTGGTTTGACCATTCCAAAGTTGCAACTCAGCCCAAGTCCCCAACACTCCAAAGTCTGCACTCTGGCTCTCTGAGGCTTCGGCTGGACAGTGCCTCGCGGCATCGCTTTGAATTTGAAGCTAGGACCCACACAAGGCATCTGGGTTCAGGGTTCGGGGTCAGTCTCAATTCAGCTCCGTAGCAAACCGTAGAGTTCTAATTCCCAACCGAACTCTAGCCATCTTGTCACCGTGCTTGGGCGCCTCCTCCAATCTGCCGTCATTTGCAGCCTGCCGGAACTCTTTCTTGCGTATCCTATGGCCGGACCTCCTTGGAGTTCCAACGACATGGACGAAAAACTGACGAGAGCCCTGCACCTTCAGCAAGGTGTCCGCAGCAGCACGACGAATCGCCTCTAGATCCTGGCAGTCAGGAGTCCGGGTTATTTGCGAGGGCCGTATAGAAGGGTACAGGCCTACATGAGGCACAACTTGATATAAATTTCCCACCACCCTAAACCCCTTTTGCCTTGATGAACCCTCAACCCTTCCTAAACACTTGGCCCCGGACAATCTGGCCAACTCTTTGCAAGCGAGACGCAAGATTTCACGAACTCTTCAGGAATATGACAGATTTGATCAGGAGGACATCACTACGAAACACGCAACGTGCGCAGGCTATGCAGCTGTACGACGAATCTACACCCTGAGCCCTTTTGTAAACCGGGCGAAGGGTGGTCAGGGCGTAGCAGGGTCGGCTCTAGATTGAAGCTACAGTTCAAAATGGAATCGGACCCAAACCAAAGGATGTGCAGCGTGGCGTGATCTACATTCCAGCGTCGCTTAAGCCCTCTCCTGGCATTGGCACTAGGCCTGGCACTGCACAAACCGACAAACCCAATGCTCCAGCGATGCAAGCGCAGGCACCTTGTCCCCGGACTTGGCGCCTTAACATTTGCAGTGGCACTCGGTTTCAATCGGCGAGTTTGGTCTTTGTTTGCCACCGCAGTCGTGGGACTGTGTGGTTCTTGGCATACACGACAAACTGAAGGTTCATTGGAAAACCCCAACAACACTCTTCCCTCCATAATCCGGCACACATGTCAAACCCAACTCCCGCTGCCCCAAGCTCCAACCCTCAAAGCCCCAAGTCCCGCAGACGCCCAAAACAAGTCTGCGCTCTCGCGGTTCTGAGGCTTGGGCCACCGAGCGCCTTGCGTTTGGGACAATCATAAGCTTGGATTTGCTCCATGACTTCCTTTGTTCAACATCAGCCCCCTGTAGGAAACAGAAAAGTTTATCTTGCTGGTAGGAAGATCATGTCAGGAAGCATGCGGCATGCACAGCTTCTTCGCAGTCTAAGCCACAATACTGATGCTTGGATGTTTCACGCCGGGCAGGCTTGGCTCTCAAAAGAGCGCAGTAGTTGGCGGGTCCGATTGCAGACATTGTGGGGGCAGTGGTTGGGGGGACGACGCCCGCCTTTGGGGCAAGGCCTCAAGATGAAGGGTTTGGGGTCAGTCCAGAGGCTGTGAGGGCGTTTGAGGGCGTTTGATCATAGAGGTCTGATTCACAGCCGAACCCCAAAACCTCCGAATGCACGACAAACACACCTTCATGTACATGCGCGCCTCTTCCAGCCTGCCATCACTCGCAGCCTCCGGCCGGCGGTCGCTCCATGTCGCTCCTACTGACATCCTATGGCCTGACGTCCTCACAGTCCAAAGGTCCAAAGGCATGGACACCAAACTGACCAAGCCCTGCGCCTGCCTTCAGCAGGGCCTCTCTGGCAGTGGCACGAATGGCCTCCAGATCCTGGCAGTGGACACGGGACCACAAAGAGCAAGGAGGGGCCATGCAGGCAACGGCCACGGCTCCACAAGGGCAGAGCTGGGAAATGCATGCGGCAGCGTCATAAACACCTGTAAACAGTACGTCGCCCGGCGATGCAAGCACCGGCACCTTGTCATCAGACTTGCTGCCTTAGCACCGGAACTCGCATACAATGGGCAAATCAATCGGCATGGTCTTGGATTCTTTCGACACTCGCAAGTGACCATCTCACACATGTCATGCAAGACAGATCCTTGAAGAGCAGGTCGGGAGGTTGGGCGATGTTGAGGCTGGATGTTGTGGGATGGTGCGTTTCTGGACCATACCAAAAAACCAAAGGTGAAAGCGTGAACATTGTGAGCCTCAGCACATATCCAAAGCCCAACTCTCTCAGCCCACGCTCTTGCACGGCTGAGGGTTGGGCCGCAGAGTGCCTTGCGGTGCCGCTGTCAAGTTGCAGTTTGGGGCATGCAAGGCCTCAGGGTCAATCTAGCTAGAGGCCGTAGATGGTTGTTGCTTTGAGGGCGTAGGGCCCGAGGCACTTTGAATGCCTTAAGAACACAGGTGTACGGTCATGTACATGGGCGCCTCCTCCAATCGGCCGTCAGTCGCAGCCTGCCGGCTCTCTCCCTCTCCCTCTCTCCCTAAATGGCATCCCCAGACGACAAACTGACGAGAGCCCTGCGCCTTCAGCAAGGTCTCCGCGGCAGTGGCACGAAGTGCCTCAAGGTCCTGGCGGTCAGGCTCCGTAGGGAACGCCCCACACAGCCAGCGGGGTGCGCGTGATGGTGTCGATCTGCTCAGGCTCTGATGAAAAGCAGCCGGGACACAAGCACCCGCCGAAGGCAAACCCCGCACAAGTCCTTGTCGACAGACATCGTACCTTAACTCTGGTGCTCGGGTGGAATCGGCATGTGTCCCTGCCGCCCGCCGAGCAGACTAGACGCACTGCAGCGCAAAATTTCGGGAAACATGATGCACTTGAAACACTCAAGTGGACAGAAGGCTGTGGGGAAGAGGAAGCACATCTGTCAAACCAACGCAGACTTGGTTATGGACGTTATCAGGGCATCGTTTTCCCACGTCACGCTTGATGTTGGACGATGTTGAGGCTCAACAGTGTGGGATTGTGCGGTTCTTGACCAGACCAAAGTTGTAGCTCAGCCCTTGACCCTCAAAACCCTTCTCTCCCGCCAAGTCCCCAACACCCCAAAGTCTGCGCTCTGGCTCTCTGAGGCTTCGGCTGGACAGTGCCTCACGGCATCGCTTGGAATTTGACGTTAGGGGCCACGGAAGGCGTCTGGACTTCAGGGTTCGGGGGTCAGTCCTAAGGTTGTAGCTTTCAGGGCAGCATAGAGCTTGAATCGGGTGGAGGTCGCAAATCAGCCTTCCTCCTGTTCCGGGTCTCCTGTACTCGAAAGAGTCGCCCCAAAAATCTTAAAGTGTCACCGAGCATCCCTGAAATCACCAGAGAACATCCCGCAGAGTACCCCTCCCACAGATCATGTGGACTCCAGGGAAGCCAGGAAAGCCGGGCAAGAAGAGACATCCAAACACACAGCGGTGAGCCCAAACGCCACAAAGAAGTCCACAAGCAAAGGCCAGGCCAAACCAGCATTTCATGGGACCAGACTGCCAAAAGGGGAGCGGACCTGGGGGCCGAAAAAAGAAAAGAGGTGTGAGCAGAAGAAGGCACCAACCCGACCCAACACCTGGACCTAGACCACAATGCACCGTTGAAAGTCCAAGCAACACACGTGCGCGATTGTATGTGCGTGGGCGCCTTCTCCAGCCTGCCGTCACTGGCAGCCTCTCGACCGGGGCTCTCTCACTCCCTCTCTCTTTCTCTCTCTCTCTCTCTCTCTCTCTCTCTCTCTCTCTTTTTCTCTCTCTCGTTCTCTCTCTCTTTTCTCTCGCTCTCTCACTCTCTCTCTCTCCCTCCCTCCCTCCCTTCCTCCCTCCTCTGAGTAGCATCCTATGAACGGACTTGCTCGGAGTGATCTCAGACATGGACGACAAACTGACGAGAGCCCCGCACCTTCAGCAAGGTCTCCGCGGCAGTGGCACGAATCGCCTCCAGGTCCTGGCAGCCACCGGCCGCATGGAAGGGCAAAGGCGTACATGGCCTTCTAAACTACTCGGCTTAGCCGGGTGCATGAGCCGCTATAATCTGCTCGAGCTCTTTTTTGCTGAAATAGTAAATTTTGCACGCACAGTCCGTTGCACTGAAGCGATTCTCCGATTTCAGGCAAGTCAACCTGTGAAATGGGCCCCATGTGTACTGTGGTGTCCCCCGAAGCAAAGTCCGACTTCGGACATTTCCAGCTGTGCTCAATGTTGTGGAGGCCAATTTGGCCCAAGGATGTTGCCAGCTGCCTTGATGTTACCAAAGTGGTCCTGTGAGATCTTGCACATGCCCTCCTTGCAGACGCTGTTGAGTCCAGCTCTTCGGCGTCCCACCAGCGACTGCCGTCAGCGACGGAGCGCACCTGCTCCTCCGAATTGCCACCGGCAGCATTCGAAGATGATCTCGCAAGATCGGGCTCGAGGAAGCCTTGCACCCTCTTCGCGGAATCAGGGGCGGGGCGGAAGGGGCGGGGGCGGGGTAACTCGGCCGAGGCCGACGCCGAGACCTCGGCCTGCACCGGCCTGACAAGTGCGCGAGTGCCGACGGTGGCCAAAGAAAGCTGCAGCAGCCCAGGCTGTCAAAGTAACCGCCAAAGTACTCAGCCAAGCACTCAACCATCGCGAGCTAGCGCTGGCGACAAGAATTGTCGTGTAACAACACGCTTCCCAGATGGTACCGAAACTCCAGCCTAGGGCAACGCTAAGATGCTACTAACAACGCAGAGCTTCCTAGGCTCTTTGAAGACACCTTGGCTAGAGTCAGGAGGATGAAAGGCGAAGGCAAGATCACATCCCCTCAACCAAACGGACGGCCAATGGAGCATCGGACATACCAGACAGGGAGAGTCAGAGAAAGAGCTACCACAGCCAATGGAAGCGAGCCTCGAACCATCGAAATTAAATTGCAGCGGCACATGAAACATGCGAGACAGCTGCTGAAGTACCTGCAAGTGGCAAACCCCACATACGCTTCAAGCACGGGCGCCTTTTTGCCAGACGTGGTGCCTCAATTAACAGCGGAACTCGATTGCAGCCGGTGGGTACGCGATTGAGGCAGGGATGGTGCATTTCTTGACCATACCAAAGGCAAAAGCGTGAACCTTGTGAGTCTCCGCACATATCCAAAGCCCAACTCCATCAGCCCATGATCCTCAGAAACTCCTTTTGCCCACCAAAACCCCGAACAGCTGAAGTCTGCGCTCTTGCACGGCTGAGGGTTGGGCCGCAGAGTGCCTTGCGGTGCCGCTATCAAGTTGCAGTTTGGGGGCATGCAAGGCCTCAAGGTCAATCTAGTTAGAGGCCGTAGATGGTTGTTGCTTTGAAGGTGTAGGGCCCAAGGCACTTTGAATGCCTGAAGGACACACGTGTACGGTCATGTACATGGGCGCCTCCTCCAATCGGCCGTCAGTCGCAGCCTGCCGGCTCTCTCTCTCTCTCTCTGTCCCTCTCTCCCTCTCTCCTTAAATTTAAATGGCATCCTACGGTCGGACCGGCCAGACGACAAACTGACGAGAGCCCTGCGCCTTCAGCAAGGTCTCCGCGGCAGTGGCACGAAGAGCCTCAAGGTCCTGGCAGTCAGGCGCCGTAGGGAAGGCCCCACACAGCCAGGCTTCCACAAGACTACCCCTCAGTGCACCCATCTACTCCGGCCAGTGGGGCGCGTGATCGTCTTGATCTTTATGTATAAAGTTTACAAGTAGCACTCGAATGAAGCCTGATAAGATACAAGCCAGAGCCAAAACCCTAAACCTGAAACCTGACCGATACAGCCTGCGGCTCCGACTTCACCTCGGCAAAAGCCTTCTCGAGGCTTCCGTCCTGCTCGCACTCGCACAAGGCAGGCAAGGATGCAACGTCCATGGAACAAAAGACACACACACACACACACGTACATACATGTGTATATACATATATATATATATATACACATTTTGTTTGTGGGCTGCAGGTGAACTCAGGCTTCTGCTGCATGATCTTCGGGCTAGGGTTTCGGGATCCCCTGCCCTAGGACTCTAAGACGACGTGTTTGCTGCTGGAGTAAACCCCCACGTGAAACTCTCGTTCCCCTGCTGCGAATGTCGCGGAAAAAGGACCCCAAAAAGGCCGATCTTGGCGCCTGATAGGTCCGCAGAATGCTAAATCCTAAGCTGCAAACGCAAACCTTCAACTGTCTCCCTAAAACCCACTTCCGTGGGCAACGACCTTGGCAGCGTGGAGAAGGGCTGTAGCTGCTTCCTCCAAGAGTTCGGGTTTTTTGGGACCTTTGACCCCAGGAGCCTGTTGACACCTGACTGGCGGTTTGAATCCTCAGGCTTGTTTGCCTACTAGAAAGGCTTCAAGCTTTGGCTAGGGTTCCGGGTTAAGGCTTGGGCCTCACGAAGCCACTGCTAGACTACCTTGTGTCTCCGCGCCGCGCCTGCTTCAGTGAGGTGACGTCAACTTCCTTCGTCCAGGATGACCGCTGAGTTGCTGACAGTTGGGGGTTGACCAACATGGGCCCCCTTCGGGTATGGCTTCTGCAGGGGGTGGAATTTGCTGGCCACAGTACGACTTAGAAAGGGGTTCAGGATTTAGATCAACTTCAGCAATGAAAAACACAGGTGTTTCCTCGCCTTCTGGGACTTGGCCTGGGCCAGCGCAGCTTCTAAGCTGCCTTCCTGGAGAGCACCCAACAGCCCCCCAGAAACCAAGGCTGTACTATCTGCACTGCGCACTTCTTGTTTCTTGTTGCCCTTAGAGCATGGTGTCGAAGTCCTTGCACTGCTTGCAACGACGCAGACCTACTCGCGACACCCTTTTTGCGAAGACGCTCATGCTGGATAGGCATCAGCCAAGCACTTGGGCAGCACAGCCATAAAGGAAGCCGACCCGCAGCAGTATTTTCTGTCAACCCGGAGCAATGAAGAACTTTCTATGCCGCAACGACAAACCAGCCCTCGACACCCCAGCAGGTCCGCGTGAACCAAAATCTGGAAGGGAGGGGGCGTCCTCCATGGCCTTGCAGAGAGCCTTTGCTGCCTCCTGGCGGATTGCCTCGATGTTGGTCTCCTGCGCAGGCTTCAATCGGTCGCAAAAGCCCTCTTCGACTAGTAACTAGTAGCCAGCAAACCCTGCTTAGACCCCTGTCCCTCCTGTGAGCCATACTCCAAATCCAACTTTAGGAGAAGACGAGACATCGCCATGCGTGCAAGGAATGCTCGCCAGAGGCTTGGCCAAATATTTTTGTCGCCGCACGCTGGCCAGACCCAGGCTGCTCCACCACGCTGAGCTCTCTCAGCCAATGACCCAACACCCTGTAAATTTAAGGCCCTAAAGAACCGAAACCCCAAGAAGCCCTACCTCTTTGGCTGAAGGGGCCGATGCACCTGGCCCTTCTTGGTCAAAACGTCTTCCAGGCGGCCATCCTGGCTTCTTTTGTGCTGTGACTGCCCGCTGTGCTACACGATGACGATGACGCACGAAGACGATGATTCTGAGCGCTTTTACTACCATGACCTTTACTGTGGCCTACTACTACTTCTCATACTGTAGTACTACTTGCACTATTTACACTATAGACGTACTGTAGGTAATGAAATACAGGCATTTATTGCTGTTGTTGTCGTCATCGCCGTGGCCGTGGCCGTGGCCGTGGCCGTGGCCGTGGCCGTGGCCGTGGCCGTCGGTGTCGTCATTGTTGCTGTTGTTGTCAAAGCATTGCCCAGTTGGCACTGTGTCAAAAAGCTGACAAAGGCTCAACCTTGGTGGCTTGAAACATGTCCTAAGTCTGCAGTGTGCGGGCAGCATCCTGGGCTGAATCAGCTGGAGAGCGCATCAGCAGCTCTCAAAACAGTTGCACGTCGCGCTCGTGGCATCTTATTTCGTATCCGGCTCCCCACGAATGACGTCGTCTTTCGATAGACTCCGATAGACCCCTCCGGCAGACACATGTCCTCCCATTTGCATCCTTGCAGTCAACGGTCAACCGCCGCAGTGCTCCCACCAGGCTAAGTTTCTGGTTCCGGGAGCCGTTGCTGGTGGTAGGCACACTGCTTCTGTTTGGAGGGATCGCGACTTTTGTAGCACCTAGCTACGAGTGCTTGGAAGCTGCGGCTGACGGCGCAGGCAGATGCACGCGAGTTTGTGTTTGCTTACCTTCTCTTTGCAGACATCGCATCTTCTGATTGATCATTCTTGCCTTACACCTTTGCCAAAATGGGCGTCCAGTGGAACGGTCTTCGCCCTCTGCCAGTCAAGTGAACATCTTCCAAGCCGGTCGGAGAACCACTTTGTGGCGGCATTACGTGCTGAGCACGACGTGCCACTAGTCGAGAAACTTTAAGCAAAGCTCGCACCGGCCGTTCCACATGGATGCTTGCTGAGAGCCGACTGAGCAAAGCCTGCAAACAGCAGTTTGTGAGGGCTTCTGCACCCTGAAGCTTTCCTTTTCAGTTGTGCGTGCACTGAGACCACGGACTGGCGGTCAGAAGATGTTTTAGACAACTTTGGCCTGTCGCCACATTGTGCAGGAAAGCCCTCCGCCACTTTTGGCAGGTCGCAGGCAGAACTGCTGCGAGACGGACTCGCACAGGCGAAGAAAAATGAATCCATGAATGTTGTTGGTGGCGTTGTGTGAAGAATCGTTGGAACTACCTTTCGCGGACTTATTAGGGGAATCTCTGACAAATTCTGTCTACAAAGAAACCTTAAAGCAACGAATGATCCCATGAACACCGTTCCACCGTACTTAGATCCAAGAGCTACGATGCCCTGCCTGGGCAGCTGCCAACAGGGTCTGAGCTGCCTCCTTCGCTGTGTGTTCATTCAAGAATGCAGAGAGAGAGAGAGAGAGAGAGAGAGAGAGAGAGAGAGAGAGAGAGAGAGGCGAGAGAGCGAGAGAGAACGAGAGAGCGAAAGAAGAATAAACGCACTGATCAGACTTCATGGCTGGGGCTGCATCCTTTGTGATGCAAAATGCAAGTCTGGACGAGGCGCGTTGTCTGATACTCTGCAGCAGAACAACACCTAGCATTGTTCGGAGGACGCTTCGGTCATTCGGCCCTCCCACCTAGGACGTGGCGAGCCCTACAAATCTACAGAAGCAATTCCGTTGTCCGCCATGCACTGCCAACAAGCAACCCACTGCATTCAAGCAAGGAGTATCCTGGCGCAGGAACTCAAGGTCATCCTGGACAGACTTCTCCATGTTTACAGAGTTGTTCTCTACAGGCTCCCTGTGTTTGTGTTTGGGTGTCCTTGAGTGTTTAGCCAGCGGGACGTTGCAGCTAGCCGGTCAAGGGCTACCCCTCAACTTGTCGTAATGAAAGCATCCCAGGGGTCAGACAGCAACCCAACGCAGGACCGACTAGCCAGCATCGAGCTTGGGGAATAAGGATTTTCGAAAGCTCCCGTTCAAGCCCTGCCTCAGCAAAGGGATACAAAGTCGGCAACCTTAGCACTTAACTGGAAACGCTTCCGCACTTCTGTCTCCTTGGGGGCTTTCTGATTCTTGGTGAGGACGGACTCGAGCGTGCCATCCTCTGCAGCCCTGAGAAGCGTAATGGCTGCCTCCTGCCAGGACCAGTTGTGGCAGGCGGTCACTCGCTCAAGAGCCACACCCAAGCAGGTGCCCAGGGCCTACATTGACTGCTCAGTCCCAGGATGCCAGTTCACCCTACCCTGAAAGTCAGGCCCAAGTATTGGTCGTGGGAGACTCAGTCCTGTCGCAGCGCATCGATCTCCTCAGCCGTGGTATCCTGGCAAGGGCTCCCCCTCTTCAAGTGCCTTGTTGAGATCACGGGGGCTTCCCACAGAGCATCGGATGAACTTGCGAGAGCTTGGTCGCAACCATCCTACTTCTTATTCACAAAAATGCATGAATGTAATGAACACAAAACATCACTCTAGAACAGAAGCAACACCATTCTCAATGCCAGCAACTACGATACAAGATCTCGTGAGGCCCAAATGTTCTTTGTTCAAGGCGATCAGCTCCCGAAATTGTACGCTGATGTGGCGGGCAGGACCATGTCGTGTTCATAAGCCTTAGACTTGCTGACAAACGGACACCAAAGAACAACGCCCACCAAGACGGAATCGGAGGCCCAAGAATCCTTCTTGACGCATCCTAACAACTCCCTATTGCCTCAAGCCCAACCCTGAAACCGCATAAACCCTAGACCCCTAAACCGCTTAACCCCCTTTTGCCAACCAGGTCTCTTGCAGCCAGCCAGGCTAGACACAACCCTAATGGCCCTTAATCCTCAACCCCACCCCTGTGGAGCCTGGGACGCATCGATGAGGGCCCTCTCCAAGGTGCCGTCCTCTTGTTGGAGCGGCGTCCAAAGGAGGCACGTGTGCGGGGTTCACCCCCCGAAACAGATAGAAGCTGTTGAAGCAACCGCTGAAACAGAACACCTTAAGCCAGAGAGAGTCGGCCCTCCTAAGTACCGTGGGTCTTCTAGACTTGCAAAGACATCCTGTATTGAGAAACCTTGGGCGCAGAAGATTCGGACGACATGACATCATAGCATGCAGTCAGATGCTAGAAAGCAAAGCCCACTAGCAATCAATGTTCTGATATTGGTTGAACAAACTGGCATACCGTGCAGCATGTCAGGCACGAACGACACTAAATGTTTGGAAAGGAACTGGAAAAAAACACGAACGTGTTCGGCAGAATTAAATCGACTATGCCCACGTTATCACCAGAGACACAAAATGGTGTTTCAAGAAATTGCATTTTCCTTCTTGCTTGTTTACTACGTCATCCCAAAACCTTGCTTCTATTGTCATACATTTTTGAAGAATGCCATTCTCCGCTTTCTCAGCTCAGGGCGTTCCTATGTTGTAGTTTGGTATGCAGCATACCAAACTACCGTATGCTCATGGAGTTTCTAGGGGGCCATATAATGGTTGCAAGGAGGGGATCTTTCGGGTTGGGGCCATTGAAACTAAGCCCAGGATTACGAACATGGGCCTTCCAACTGGTGTACAGGTTAGGGTTTGGGTTCGATGACTCAATAGCATGCCCTAGGAGCACAAGGGGCATGCGGGGATTAAAATCGACATGGCTATCCCTAAGTCAGGATTAAATCCTCACTCCCAGACTCAGCGGCGGATTCTGTCAGCCTCAGCGGCACTCAGCAGCATCTGCGCAGCTTGCAATCCTCAGGTTTTATGCAGGCGAAACCCATTCCACTACGATCACTTTTCCACCCAATTGTTTGTCCTTCTTAACCAAGACAACCCATGTACTTTCCGGCCCTACCATGATTAGCTACACCGCACCACACGTTGTGGAAGTTCGGCGTGGGATGACGTGGGGTTCCCGTTGATGCAAGCTTTTGCCCCAGTCAAAGTCCCCCAGCCAGCCATCTCGGCTTCCTTGGCGGCTTCCTTGGGACTCAGACAACGATTGCCTGTCCGCAACCCGTTACACGCCCCCGCTGGAACCTCGTGCACAGCAAACCCATGGATCAAGTTGCAACTTCTTCTCTCTAAATTAGTTGCTTGCGACTTGAAGTGCTACAGCTGCATTGGCTTGCATGGGATGTCTGCACATCTGTCCTCTTTGGAGTTGTGATTTGCTTTGTGAGATACATGGCCTGGCACGCCTGGCCAGGTCAAAGGCTGGGCAACGCCTTCAAGCGCCAGATCCTCGTCTAGTTTGGAGTTTAGGGCGGCAGCTTTGCCAATCGATGGCGCAGGACGTGAGCCGAAAAGCAAAGATGTTTGGCACCGTCTGCCGCTCGAACTTGCCATTTTTTGTGCTGCGGGTTCCCGCTGTAAAGCGAACAGAAAGCGGGTGTTCCCGTTCTTCTGGGGGCTCGCCGCTATGCTTCCGATATGACACCAAAAACATCGTCCAAAGCAACGCGACCGAACCATCAAACCCTCACGACACCGATTACTAATGTCAGAAGGAGCTTGGACCCTTGTATACCCTTGTGAAACACCTTCTGTTTCGGGGTCGATCCATCGTCCCCGAGGAACAACAACACACTTGCCAACAAACCTTTTGTTTGGCACACCACACCCATCTAAACCTCCTCCCCCAACACCCTGCTGTTCCATTGTCCAGGGCTCGGAGCTCTTCCACGGAGGCTTCCGGCTTGGCCTGTGAAAACGACGGTTTCGGTGGTTAGGGGCGGTTAGGGGCGGTTAGGCCGTTCCCTCAGAACATCACCGTCTCCAAAGCAGACTGCCCAGAAGACGTGTAAACCTCTTCTCTCTTCCTTCCCGCAAACCCACACCTTGCCCCCAAGGGCGACTTCCAGAGATCCGTCCTTCCAGGCTGGAGGGTGTCGGCATCGATTTAAAGGGGTTCATGGGCAGCAAAAGCCGTGTTTCTTGTGATGTGCCTATCAGCAAGAACTGGTTCTGTGTTGTAACCTTTCGGGGATGCTGACAGCTCGACGGTTCACTTTCTTCCTGAATCTCTCAGAAGGCTGTCATAGGGTCGGTATTCAGTGTTGGGGATCCCTTGTTGAGTGTTTGGAAGGGCGGGACGGGGAACCTGGAAATCTTTCTCATACAGGAAGCTGGGACCTGCAGCATTTGGTAAAATCTGGTGAAAGTTGAAGATCCAACTCAATGTTTTGGGGGCTGGAAACTGTCAAGGCCTACAGAATGTCTCTGATGTCCCTTTGAAGAGGGTTTTGTGGGGGGAGAGGGGGCATTCCTTAAAAAGTTTCATCTTAAAGCTCTTCGGGGGTCTGCCATCTTGAGGTGTCCTCGGCGGCACGCATCAGGGCAGCTTGGGCCTTGAGACGGATGTTGTCCAGATCCTCCTGTGTGGGACAACGAAGGGTTTTGGGATGCTTCCCTGTTATGAGGGTTTAGGCTGTCTTGCCACCTGCCAAGACCAGGTCCACACACAGCAGGGCAGCATGTCGAGATGATAAACAACAAGGCAGCAGGCAAGAACTACCGCCGCTGCTGAGGAGGAGGATCGCGAACCCGGCCGATGGAAGCCCCCCCCCCACTTTAAATGCCCAAAAGCTTCCACTTCCCCTTCCGCAGCGGAAGCAGACTCGCCGTGCGTGCACTTTGCGGAGGTCAACTAGCCTCTTGGTCGCCACACCCACTAAAAGCTCCGGCACACTAGGACTCTGCTGAACCCACTGCAAAACAGAAGCCTATTGAATATAGCATGGTGGCAATAAGAACCCTAAAGAACAGTAGCCCAAACCTGAACTACTCCGGATCGAGACAAACCAAGAAATCAACAAGCAAAACCTAATGTAGTATAGTCGTACTCGCAATCGAAGTGCAGGCGTGATCCCCATAGTCCCCGACGTAAGGGGCTTAAGGGGTTTCAATTTTTTATGGCCGTTGACCTTGGCGGCTTGCTGGATGGCTTCGGAGGTGAGAACCTCCCTTTTTGGAGAGGAAGGAATGGGAAGTGGGGGGATGGGGTACCCCGGAGTGCTTTTCGCGCAGGACAGGAGATGGGACTGGGCGACCTTTCCCTGGCACGAGCTTGCGGGAACCCTTTGGGTCGGGCCACCAAGCCGGCTTACCAGTCTACATTCAACCTTTCTCAAAGCCCGAAACCCTACGCCGGAAAAGGTCGCGCCACCCACTCAACCTCCATCTCTGATCTGAGGCCCGTGTCCTGAAGTCCAAAAACACCATGTAAAGTGCCTACGGCCCCCTATGCAAGTCCCCTAGAAAAGCTCCCCCCATGCCCCCGAGCCTCTTCCGTCCTCAGTTCCTTGGAATCTGTGATGTCATCCAGCTCTTTCGACATGGGGGGGAGCTCAGGAGCCTCCGGCCGGGAAGGCTTCGGGAGGCTTGGCCGGCTTGGGTCTGGGGGGGCAAGCCTCTTCTCCGACTTATCCTACCAATCCTGGCGGAGTGTGGACAACTACGCATTCCAAGTCCGAACACATTCCTCACCACGATGATCCTCGAGTTCCATGATGCCACAGGATTGAGGGTTTGCTCTCTGTGCCTGCGGGCTTTCTTGGGGCGAGGAGGAGGTTCGTAGCAGCGACCAGACTCATAAGACTCCCAAGACAAAAAAAAGTCCCCACCTCCTGGGAGTGGCTCAGCGCTTCTTGGAGGGTGCCGTCCTCAGCTGCCTGCAGAAAAGAAAGAATGGGTGCGCGGAGTGCGGACGGGCCACTCTCTCTGCCCCTTACCCCTTTGTGCTTGGCACTCCGTTCGGCGTCCTGGACGGCACCAGGATGCACTACACAATCATGTGCTACAACAAAGTCACGGCAACCCACGCATTGCACGAATTGCGCGTCTCGTGGTTGACTGCAGCATCGAACCGGCCTGCTGGAGCTGAGTCGCAGTCCGCGCGCGGATGTCCTGGGGGCGGATAAGTCTTAAGTCTACGCTGCATCAAACCTAGTCGCTTGCCATGTTCCGTGGCCATTTCTGCAGAACCACTCAGGCAAAGTAGATGAGGTAGAGTCACGAAATACTTTGCTCGAATCGTGCGCCCGTACGCCCTCGGTGCAGCCTGTACTGGCGTGGTTGCAGGGCTTGGAACCTCGAATTCCAACCCTAAACCCTGCATCCAGAAACATCCTGAAACCGACCCCAAATCCCAAAAGCCCTGAAACACGCCCTAAAGGCCTCCAACTCGGCCGCTTCCAACTGCTTGGCCTCCGCCTCACCAAAACCCACAAGAAAGTGACAAGGGGCACAACGAGGGCTTCAGGGGTTTCGGGGCTTTGGGTTTAGGACCGTTCAGGAGGGCTTCGGGTTTGTGAACAGGGCTGGGAAGCTAAGAGCTTCGGATTTGTTTGCTGCCAAAGAATGCTGGCCACGTCAGGAAGGCGAGGCTGTGGAGGAGAACTTGGCCCAGACAGGTACTCGCAACATCGCAGGGGCTGATGTTTTGGAGCTTGAACTCCAGGAAGCCCCAATCAACTCTTAGCATAAACAAAGGAACACCTGCAGAAATCAGAAAAACAAACGAAAACGAAGAATTTGAGGCCAGGCGCCCTCTTTCTGAACACAAGCCTCTATGTTGCCTCGTAGTACCATCTGAAGCCGAAGGTGCTGGGCCCACCAGGCCCACCCAAACAACCCCGACCCGTGACTCAACGTGCCAAGGCCACACAATAGCAGCCCTGCGGCTCCGAAATCACATCGTAACTGATTACGTAACTACTTAAACCATATAGTATAGCAACATAATATAATATAAATATACTAATGTATAACCTAAGGACCTATTATCGTATAATATAGTAGAGCAGAAGATTCTACAGGACAACATATACACCCGCACGAGGAAGCTGGAGCAAAGCGCCTTTGCCCTGTTCGCAGCCTCTTCCTCGCCCTTGGCCTCCGCCGTGCCTCTTTGATTCAGCAGGGGTTTTTTTAAAAGCGCCGCGCATTTGCATTGGCAAGCAGGGCTTCCCTAACACTTCTCCAACATGGCAGGGTTCAGGTCTCACCTGTGCTCCGTCTTGAAAGCCAATGGGATGCAAGGCCCCGGGGTTTCGGGATTGCAAGGGGGGGAAAGCCCAACAGGCAAGGAGCCGCCATCGATTGAACCCTGCAGCTTCAGCAAGCGCAGGCATGAGCACTTAATCTTGATAACCATTTGTATGCTCATGCCCGGCAAGATGGAGCTACGTACTATGTACTTGTGGTGTTTATATGTATGTATATATTCTACAATATATTCTATACAATATAAATATATTCTGTAATATATAACATATAATATATAATATATCATATGTCATAAATATATATATATATATATATGTATATATGTGAGAGAGAAAGAGAGAATGCGTGTGTGTGTGTGTGTGTGTGTGTGTGTTTGAATTTGCAAATACATGTCTGCACTCAATTAATATGCTCATATCTCTGTATACAAAAAACATACGATATACGTGTGCGAGTGTATCTGCAGGCGGACCTCCAGCCACACAGACATGCAGATATACATCGCAGACATACAACGCAGACAAGGTATTTGCAGGGTACTTACAGCGCACAGCACACCTTACAGGCATCGAAGAGACGCAATTGCGTAAATTACGAAAAGTACATACAATGCTCATGCACTACCTACCTAGTGGCGCTGTTCGATGAGTTGTGATAACTGGATTCACGTGAAAGAGGAGTGAGAAGTGACGGTTAATGACATCCTTAGCTCTGCAAGTCCTACTTCTGAAAATTCCTGGGAGCCCAGCGCTTGTCAATGTAGGCCCACGGGTCCGTTGGCTGGTCATGGATCAGGTCCTGAAACAACCTGGAAGTGACATCCCTGAAGCCTTTCAGATGCCCCTGGAAGCCTGACCCTCACCATTCCTCGCTCCAAATGTTGCACCCCGCACCCCAGAATCGAGTCTAGACAAGCAGGCTGAGAAGGGCTTAGGTCTCCAGCTTACGGACTATTGCCCGCTGAGTGAGGAGTTCTGCTTAGATTATGGGGGCCTCGGGCCCAGCACCTTCATAACTGTCACCTCTTTCAGGCTTGGAATGCTGATGACGCATGCACGGACCCTCGGTCTGCACCTCACCTGGCCTAAAGCCGAAAGAAAAAGAACACATTAAAGCGGAAGCACACCTCAAAGCAGCATGTGCTTAGGTCACAGCTGAACATCCCGAAGCCAGACTACAGATCAGTGAAGAAATCACCATTGAACCTGATGTTAAAAAACTGGCACTGGCAACCTTGCAGTTAGGGCTGCATTTACTTGTTTAAAGTTTTGTTTTCTGCCAGGCGTGTGGTGTGGTTTGCAAAGTTTGTGAGGCGTCGCGATGGTGCACAGCTCTTCTCCGCAGTCGGCCACGCATGGCCGTTCAGCCAAGCAAACTTAGCCGGACGTAGCTGACACCGAGCCGTTTTGGCCATACAAGCTCATGCCCCAGGTGACTGCCACCTCATCGGAGCGCAGTGCAGCAAATGCTTGGCGAGTGGCGGCCAGCGCTTTCACATCCTTCAGCTGGTGCTGCACGTCGGAGCTGTCGCCCCCTCTCTTGGCGCCCCAGGTCACGACCGTCCCATCGTCACGCAGAGCAGCAAAAGACCCAGCCGTGCCCACAACTTGACGGACGCCCGCCAATTGCGATTGAACGCTGCTGCTGTCGCCACCGAGCCCTGGGCTACCCCAGGTCACCACAGTGCCATCTTTGCGGATTGCAGCGAAGGCCCCAGCAGTGGCTCCGATGGATTGCACACCGTGCAGCTGCTCCTGCACCAGGCTGCTGTCAGAACCGAAACCGGAGAGCCCCCATGTCACTACCCTGCCATCTGTCCGCAGCGCGGCAAACGCAAAGTGATTCGAGAAGAGGCTTTCAACATGCTTCAGCTCCCCTTCAACGTGCTCACAGTTGCCACCGCGGTCTTCCACACCCCATGTCACAACACTTCCATCTTCACGGACTGCGGCAAATGCGAAGCCGGCACCCACAACTTGTCGAACGTTCACCAGCTTGTCCTCGACGGGGCTAACATCAGCCCCGAACGGCTTGAAACCCCAAGCTTCTACACGGCCATCGCCGAGCACGGCGGCAAAAGCAGCATCAGTAGAGGCAATCTGCCGAACGTCCTTGAGACCAAGCTTCGCACCAGAGCTTGCAGGACCCTTTCCCCAAGTCACCACGGTGCCATCTTTGCGCACAGCTGCGAAAGCAAAGCTCGATGCACAAAGGCTGCGCACGTCTCGGAGCTGATCCTCCTCGTCGGCACTAAGGGAGACGCTGCCCCACGAAACCACTCGGCCATCGGAACGCAATGCAGCAAAAGCACTGCAAGTTGCACAAATACTTTCCACATTCGTCAGGTTCTCCTGGGCTGCAGAGCTGTCGCCACCGAGCTGTGAATTGCCCCAGGTGCTCACGGTGCCATTGCTGTGGATCAGTGCAAAGGCCCCGCCCTCCTCCTCGCCTGTGATCCAGCGCTGGCGAGTCGCCACCACTTGTGCTTGACGCACCGTGGCGTACACTGTGTCGCCATGCAAGAGGCCGGTCGCAGCCAGTGTGTCGGTGTCAGGCAAGATGCGGTCGCCACGAATCAGCGCCTTAGGGTCCAGGCGCGAAAATGCTCAACAACGGGCCATAGAACGGATTTTAAGGAAAGGCTTCAAGGACGTTGTTCAATGTTGTTCACAAGGCCTTCAGCCCAACGCCTAGCGCCAGCTGTGCTCGGTGGCGCAGCTGCCCGACTGTCAGCTCCCCCTCGGGCCCGTCGGGCCCCGCGCCCGCGCTGACCAGGGCCCGGTGGCCGCTGAGCAGCGACACTTCGATCAAGGCCATGGGTACATAAAAGTACAAATCCCGGAGCAAGTAAACCGTGGAATCGTCTACGCGTCAAAAACTCTTGAAATGTGAGACCTGTGAGAGGGCACCTGCCTTCCCACCTACCTTCTGCGAGGTGCATATGCCTACTGCGAAGCTTGAGCAGACATGAAGACTCAATGTAGACATCACAGCTGCCCTTGGTTGTGGGCCGCCGGCAGCCCCATGTTTAGCTCAGCACAGCGCTTGTGGGCCCAGGTCAGGAGCTTGTGTTCGTCCAGGTACTTTCGAGCTGACACTGCCTGCAGAAGCAAGCCCCGTGAAGACTGCATTGAGACTCAAAGTCATGTAAGGTCGCAGGGCTGCAGTGCGTCAGCGAAATTTCCGTGAATGCTGGCAGGTTGCCACCCGGTGGCGGTGGCTGACCTCGCGAACAAGTACTCACTCACTCATGACACCGCAAGCTGCGGGACGCGCAAGGCTTCAGACGCTACCCTGGAATCACCGAACACTTCGAACATCACTGGACGAACACATCTGCGGCCCCTAAAGCATGTTCGCCACCTAGGCCCTGCGGAGTGCATGCGGGCTTTCCGTACCAAGGTCCCGCAAGGAAGCTTGAAGACATTTTTTGCGGACCACGCGGCCGAGCTGTCGTCCTTGCCGGCCTCAGGCGCGACAGGCGCCATGGCGGCGACTTCCTGGCAACAGAGGGCAAACTTACCTGTCCACCTGTCCAGCTGACCAGACAGAGGCGAAGACGAAGCAGATGCAGAACAGCACCCCCGAAAGCAGGTTGAAGCTTACTTCTCTTTTCTCACCGACGAGGAAAAAGGGGAAAGGGGAAAGGGGAAAGGGGAAACAAAAGGGGAAGCAAATCCAGGTCGGGTCTCGGCTTTTCACTTGGAAGGCTCAGCCGGCTAGGGAGGCTGTCCCAGGGTCATAAATCATCTCACAAAGTAGCTGGCAGCGTGCGGGCCTTGCCCTTTCAAGGTTGCAGCTGAGAGCTTGGTGATTCAGGGTGAACACCGACAGCGAAACGAGGCACAGTTTAATCATGGCCAAGCAGCACAAAGCGAAAGACGGTAATCTAAAACTCGCATTTCTTCGAAAGTTCGGCCTGCTCCGTTGCCGGCTGGATGACTTCTCGCATGGTCAGCGAGACCTGCCCGAGCAAAGTCAGGGAATCTCAGCAACTGCTTGGACCGCTTTTGGGCGGCGCACCTTCGAGCCGAAGTCGTCCAAGTCAACTTCGTAACGCCCCACGCCCTCATTGTACTTCAGCCTCGGGTTGCGAGGCGAAATCCCGATGAACATGACTTCGCGAAATCACGACCCCAGCCCACCAGATTTAAGATCGGGCTGGGGTCAGCAATACCCTCTCATCCCTCTCGAGACTCCTAGCGAATCGGTCCAAAGATAATGCCTCTGCAAAACAGTTTTGTCGCATGCGGCGATCTCATGCGGCCGTGCCACATGTTGCTTCCAATCTGCTGCAGGGCGTCCACCTCTGCTCCAGCCCCAACCCCAAACTAGGCAAACGCCAAGAGGCTGCAAGAAGAACCTCGCAGCACCGCAATGACAAGATGAGGAAGCGGTTTTAAAGCCGAAATCTATCCGCCGCGTTGCTGAATGCACATAAGTATGGGAATGATAAATCAAAACCAAAAAGCACATAAATCCAAAGAAAAAACAAAACAAAAGACAAACACCCAAATCAGAAAACCAGAACATAGAGGATTTTCCAGGATTTCCCCATTCAGTGTTTTTGCTTATTTGGCTTTGGTGTTTGTGTTGTTATTGCATTGTTTGGTGTTAGTTGTTGTGCTTTGTGTGCTCTTTGTTTTGCTTGTTGGTTTTGTTTTATCTATCTTGTGTTTTTTGCAAAGTCGTAGTCATTGCGTCTGATTGTGGTATGATCTCAAAAACGCAGCGGATAGTTTTCGGCCTCGAACCGAGGAAGCTTATGGAGTCTCCGGCTGCCGAGGCATGACACGAAAGCAACAACGCCTGTGCACTTCTCAGTTCCCGCGGCCTTGACATCTTCGCCATGCTTGCAGCCCTTGGGGAAAACAAGCTTGAACTTCGAGTCCACAACCGCCTGCCTGCGAGTGGAGCCTCAAGCAGCCGATGCTACACCGAGAAAGGCTCCGAAAAGATTCCTACCATCAACCGAACCCTTTTTTGCCTGCAGAAGTCACGTCTGCTCGCGCCGCAGAATTCCCTAAAATCGTGTGGCACACTAACTTCAGAGTCCGGCCAACACGAATGGAGAGCATGGTGCCCTGGGGCAGGCCGACGGTATCCGAAAGGGTCACCTGCCAGGTGACACAGGCAACAGATCTGAAATGTTGCCTACAACTCGTGGTGTCGTGGTGCTGTTCCTAAGTCGACCTTCGCTGGTACCACTGTCTGCCTCACACCACTCCCTGATTGGCCAAATCTCAGAAATCATCCCGAAATGCCAAACTGCTTCATGCACCCGCCTCCATGGCTAATGTCTGACCAACGGGGCCTGCCGACCAAGATGCCACATCTGACTGTCAGGTCTGAGCTTTGGACTCAAAAATACACATCAGCCATAGCCCAAGAATGCAGAACGACCTCATATGGTTCAATGAGTTCAATGCTCGATCAAGAACCGTCATCCTTGCATGACTTGAGCGCATAACGACCCCATAACACTGATAGGCGCACATGCCATCCTCCTTGGCCTTGCCGCCCTGACCCTTTGGCATCTCCAGGCACTCCCCGCTACGAAAGCTGGCTAGTCAAGCGTAACTTCCGAATCTCGCTAAGAAATCTACTCCCTAATGATAAATGCGACACAACCCAAATCCTTCCCAATAGCACAGAAGCAAAGAAGAACAAGGCATGAAAGTTCCCCATGCAAAAGATGTCGTCGCCTTGGAATCGCCGGTGCGCAAGCTCGTCCTGGCAGCGGCAGGAAATTCATCCGAGCTCCTCTCACGCAGCAGATCCCCACGTGTGGGAACATGTCAGCCTGTGAGGCAAGCGGCGCTGACTTCGCTGATACTAGTAAGGTCTGACTTGAACGCCTGTATCTTTCTTCTCATCGCTCCGTAGCTGCAGTACTCTGGGTTTCCCTCTGGTTACCCTGTAGCAGGCTTAAGGATTCAGTCGTCTTATTGAGGGGCAGAGCCGAGATCTGCATCAGCTGGAGCACAGGCACAAGCTTGTGAGGGAGCCAGCCTTCTGTGCCACGGCAAACAGCCTGCAGATTCATTGCGGGTGGCTGCTTGTAGCTTGCGTTCGCCCGAGGACGTATGGCACGTAAGATCCTTGATGGTAGGCAGCCGTGTGTCCGAGCCGAGGCCGGGGCTGTAGCAAGTCGGACAGAAGAGCGTCAGGCAGCTTGAGCCAAGTGAAAAGCGGAATGTTGATCCAGCCGAGGAATCAGCACTCATGACAAACCAACGTGAACTGACCACAGACAACAGACCGTCAATGGAGTGCGATAGGATGCCCAACTCACCACAAAGAACAATGCCACTTCGACCCACTGCATCTGCCACCTACGCTGCTCACATGGCCTGAAGACCGGCTTCTGCTTGTAGGCAGGGATGTGGGAGTGGTAACCTGGCAGCACTTGCAGATCGAATGTCACACACAGCAGAATGCCACCCCAGAGAAAGCAAGTCTTGTTGTGCTGGTGCGACCATTGCAACGCTTTGGTCATCTGTCAGTTCATCAGGGCTTGGACAGCCTGGCTCCGCTCCTCTTCCGGCAAGCGGATCTGCGCAATTCGTTCAGTAGCATCCTGGCATGGCAGCTTCTCTGGGAGGAAAGCGTCCACATCTTGCCGCAAACGGGGATGACATAACCCTCACATGACATAACCACCACACGCCCAGCACACGCCCAACCTCGGCCATTCGCTCTCGCAGAGCCCTCGGCGCTCTGAGGCTTCATTCGTTCTACCATCGTTTTGGACACGTGCTTGGTCGCCAATTGTATCTTTACCGTCCACGTGCAAGTAATTCAATATTCAAGATCGCAACTATTTCGGGAAGTGCTCCTCGGATACTGGGGGTATGTTTGTCAAGGCCCACCCTGCCTCTACAACCAGGTTACTGTCCAGCACAAAACGGCTCTTTGGAGCCTTGCAAGCTGAAACGATCTGCTGGGTGCCAGGCGCAAGAAGCTTCGAGGGAAGGTTCTGCATCCCGAAGCCTTCGTAAAAAGAACGTGAGCGACACGAATATCGAGACGGAGACATGTCGGGAAGAGTGCTCTGCTGGATGCAAGAACACATACAGACTTTTGCATCTACATACAGATATGCTTGCCTACATACACTACATACACGACAGACTTCTGCGCAAGAGAGAGAGAGAGAGGGAGCGAGAGAGAGACAGAGAGAGAGTTATACACATAATAATTGATATAATGGGACTTATCACTAGGATACATATATACACACGTAGTTGTATCTCATTAATTACTGATGAGGAGGAGTATGGTTCAACAGTGTTCTTAACTTCTTGAAAGCGCTTGATGCGCTCAGCCCCACGTAGTTGAGAACCTTGCCGTCTAGAGCGTAGAGCGTGCACGCGTCTGAGCTGCCGCAGCGAACGACCTGCCAGATCTGCTCAGGGCTGAGGCAACGAAGAGCAACAGCCATGTGGGCCTTTTCTAGATTAGGGTCCCTTTTGTTTCACCAATGCCGCATTATGTAGGGGAGCCACAAAAGGGGACCCTAATTTAGAGAACTACCCATGTGTCTGCGTCCTGCATTCTCAGGGTCGGACGATGGAAAATGGCTCTGGACTGTACACCGGAAGCGCAGCCATAGTCCCAAACATACCTGGCTCATGAGGGGAGAGATTCTCTGGCTGTCTGTGATGGCCTCCACGTTCAAGCTGAGGTCTCAGCTCCCTGGTTCAAGGGTGTCTAGCACCTCCACATCCTGCAACATCACAGGCATACGTTGCACGTACCCAATGTAACCTGATTACGCCGCATCTGAACCTCTATAGTCTTTGCATCAGGCGTATGTTGGCGGACTTTGTAGATGCCCCGTCCTCTTCTTGGGGAAGGCGAACGGCGGTCGCCTGGAACGCCTAACAGCCGAGCGTAGGCACTTGGGCAGGAGAACAGAGTGAACTGCCCCAGCCGGAGTGGGAGCACAAAGGAGGGTCTCCCTGAAGAGGTTCGAATTGGATCTGGACTACTGGCATTGTCAACCCAATCATGCAATCTGCTGACAAAGGCATCCCTCACCTGCCATGACGTTTGGTGAAAAGACACCAGCACATATGGGTAAGCTTACAACCTGAGTTTGGGGCATGGAGTCGTCGGATCACAAGCCAGACCCCTATTGTCTCAAAACCATTGGCCCCGAATGCATAGTCCCGAGCCCGCTCATGTTCCGTGGGCTGGAGCTGGTCCCGGGTCAAGGGCTCCGTGCGATTCGCCTCCATCGAAAATGTCGCCGGGTCTTCGGGCACTTTTCCGTTAGCTTGCGAGGGGTGCCAGGTTTCGACCCTCACGACTCTGATAGCAAAGCCAGATCCATGGACCGCAACGCGACGGACCGAAAGTGAGCAGGCTGAATGTGTTAGCGAGGTTCTCTGATAGCTTCTCTGGGGTGCACATGGCCGAACGATAAAGCGATAACAGCCTGCCGACGTCGGGGCCTATCAATCCTGGAGAAAACCTAAACACCAACCCTGAAATTCCTGAAAACCTAAAGCTGAAAAACGCGCACATGTAAAGGGCCCCTTTCTGTGTAGAAAGAAATATATATATATATATATATATATATGTATGTATGTATGTATATGTATATATTTTTGTTTATTTATTTATATTTATATTTATATTTATACATATACATATACGTATACATGTACATATACATATACATACACATATATAGATATAGATATAGATATAGATTGAAATTTAGATTTAGATTTAGATATTAGATATGAGATATCAGATATTAGAAACTATATATTAGGCATTAGATATTAGATATTAAATATTAGATACTAGATATGATATTAATGGGATATTAGATACTAGATATAAGATATAGATATAAGATATAGATATAAGATAAAGATATAGATATACATATACATATAGATTTAGATATAGATATAGATATTCTGTGTATATATATATACATATACATATACATATATATCTATATATGTACAGTTTTGTTTTCCTTTCTCTATGTATTTTATATTGTATTTACATGTTCTATGGCAGATATCTCTCTTGTAGCCTCCTACATTGTGCTGTCAATTGTATTGTATTAAAAAATGCAGTAAAAAAACACATTATAAAATATTGTGGTCCCTTACCCTCCCCCCACCAACAACAACAAAAACACAACAAACAAAAAGACAAGCTGAGGCCAAGCCAGGAACCCAAAACAAAGTGAACAAATGACAACAGCTACATGCTGCCTTCAGTACAACCACCCCATCATGGTCCCTCGACGATTCATTGCCCACTCACGCCCCCTTCTTACCCCCGATCTCACTCCCGCCTTGGACTTCGGGGCCTGGGCCGGGGAGAATGCGGAGCGAACCGGGAATGAACCGAGGAGTACTGGCAAAGATACTTATCGTCATCGGTTTGTGTTGCCTCGTGCAGGAATCGCACTTAACTGGCTTATGCCAGGAACCTAATTCCCACTCTCCCTCCCAAGAACCAGTAAGGAAAGATGTTGTTGCGACGAGGGATGGCTGAGGGCACCACACTGCGCGGGCGCTTCGCCAGCACGTACGCAGGGTTTGCGCCTGTTCTTTTGTTGGTGTTTGGGGCCAAAGGGTTTTAGGGTTCCACAGCGACGACCAGTAGGCTTTCAAAGGCGATGTGGGGAACCTTGAGACAATGGGACATGTGAGGCTCACGATCATCTGTGCATCCCAGAAACTTCTCGCCGGCAAACTCGGTGCGAGTCTACACACGCAGATCTGTCCGTAAACCCGACAATCAATTCCTAAAGGCATTCCAGGGCCCGCACGGGGTTCACGATGTCTGCAAAAGTCCACTTTGGCACCAGGCTGGGCAAGCGCAAGCATCTTTCCAGAGTTGCCCGAGGATTCTGCCAGAGGTTTCGTTAAAGTACTGGCGCAAGGCGTAAGCTTCACAATTCAGTACCTGGGGGGGGGGGGAGCTTTATGCACATCCTAGGCTGCCAATCAAACTCAAGTGAGTCTGCGCTCCGTGCAAGCTGGCCACTCCCAGAACATAGATCTTGGCAGTTGCGAAAACTCCCTCGGAGGTCACCGTCTGGCCTGTCACGTCGTACGGTCTAGAACTTGCGACTTGCAGCAATCACATACCTGCACACGTGCACCGATGAATTAGAAGGGACTTCAAGCACCCATGCTTGAAAGGTGCTGGTAACACGTGGTGTTGTTTTGTTAACCTGGCCACGCGCACCATTCTTGAACGTCGCCGCAGAGAAAAACAGCGACCTATGAGAAGCGGCAGGTGGAGGGGCCTAGCATACATCCCTTGGTCATTGCTGTCTGAACAACTCAAGTTTCGGGCGGATGGTCGGTCAGAGCACCTGCGTGGCAAAAGCACTGTGACATGCATTGTCCAGCCACCGCAGTCTCGCTACCCTGCGTGCCTATAGCACGTTTGTCCGCATATTCCTTGAAGGATGGAACATGCTGGTCGAAGAAATAGATCTGGGCAGTGCTGGAGAGGCTTGTTGGGAACGTGTCCCATGTCAGAGTTGACCCGAAGGAAAGCAGCGACTGAGATGGGGAACCCATGGAACCCTGAACCACCGGTGTCTGAACACCCTGCCGGCAAGTAGCCTTCTCCCTGCGGTCATGGATGGCTGTCAGGAAATCCTCGATGCTTGCCAAGGCCGACCGGACGGACAATCCGCGGATGATACTTGAATTCTGGTCGACACGCCAAGCATAACTTTGTGATCTCAGCTTGAAACACAAGCCAGCACTCACTGAGGGCGTCCTCCTTCCGAAGACGCAGAAACTCGCTATCCTGTGCACACCTGAGCTGCAAGAACGGCTGACAGATCCCTGTCCCTGCACTTGCCGCGGACTTCGACCACGAGCCTCTAAACAAGACGACTGGGTGTTAATGCGTTTTAATTCCCATCCTTCTCTTCACACCTGGCAACGATGGGCAAAGCAGCCATGCATCATTGGGCGCGGCGCACGACGCTTCCACTGCGCCTTAGGCACAGACAGCCTCCCGACAGCCTCCTCACTGCCCACAGCCCGTGACTTGTCAAATCAGGGCCCAGTTTCCAATGCCCTCATTGCCCACCTTTCCTGTTAAACCCTTAAGCTCCTTACACCCTATAAGAGCTATACATGTCCTTCGCACATGACTCAAGCATGAGCTCAGGCCCTGGCGGCTCTGTGTTTTGCAAGGCCAATTCCTCACCGCATCAGCAGCGCACCCGCCAAGCTCGCCGTAGAAAGCGTTGCCAATGGAAGGCCAACTGCTGGGATCCAGGCCCCGAAGAGGCTGACTTCATGAAGGACCCGAACCACTGGCCCCAGATTGGACTCCTGGTTTGTGGTGGTTGCCAGCTGAAGGAATTAGGGCATCTGGTTCAGGGCAAGCTCGATTCTTTCGGCCTTGCTGAAGGTGCTGTACCCCTCCGTCGTGCGGAAAGACTGTGCCTTGCCAAGAGCCAAAGCCATTCGATCACAGAAGTGCTGGTATGACGTACGATGTATATAATGTTAGATGTCATAACATAACATAACATAACATAACATAACATAACATAACATAACATAACATAACATAACATAACATAACATACAAGCAAATTACATGGCATGTTGTGTTTTTAATATGTTTCCAGACTTTAGAAATTCTGAATTACATAGTACACATTACAAACTCGTTCTTAATTGCGTGTAAATAATTCTAGTAAATTGTCAGGGATACAATAGAACATAATGTACTTCAGATGCAGCGTCATGCATTGTAGTCATGCTGTATATATTGTATATTCAATTCTACATTTGCGCTCTCTATTGCGCACTGTACATTGCATATTTGTCTATTGCTTAGTGTTGAGTATGTGTTCGAAATAATATATATATATATATATATATATATATATATATATGTATGTATGTATGTATGTATGTATGTATGTATACATATAAGATATTAGCTCCTACTCTGTTGCATATTCTGATATCTCATCGAATTTTTGCTTTGCCAGAACCGATGCTACCTGATTGATAGATGTGTGTATATATATATATGCCTGGGCGCCGTGCCATCCGCGGAGGTTTGCCCTGCTTCGCCTCCTCCTTGCGCGCCACCTGTCGCAGCTTCGGTATCTTTTGTTGCCACCCGTCTAGCCAAGCTCCGCGGGGCAACTGCAGAGAGAAGGCTTTGCACGCTGCACTTCAGCTTCGGCGTCTTGAGGTTTGAGGTTTAGGCCCTTTGCTTGCTACTCGCCCAGCACTTCAAACGTCAAACATCTTGAGACACACAGCACCGGCCTAGCAGATGCACCATCGGGTCAGAGGGTTTTTTGTGCCACCGAGTCGCTGATCTCAACCGACCACACCGAAGGAAAATTGTGTGCCACGAAAACCAGCAGAAATTGACCATTCTTCCCGCCCAAATCGGAGGGTTTTGGGTGAGCTACACAATCCGGACTACACTGTCCTATATTTCAGTAATGATTGGCTTTCAGATACTCACCTCGATGCAGAGCCAATGTTTGGAGCAGCTGTGTATTGTCCTATGCATCCGGACTCGACCACACAAGAGCTTCCAAAGGAGCATGAAGGGAAGTGCGAGAATCACCTCAAATCCAAAACTCTACCAATAACTGGCAGAACACGCCACGAATGTCCGTGCCTGGTCCCACCTCTCTTTGCCACTCCTGCAGGTTGGATGACTACTGGTAGCAGGACTAGTGCTCTGGGCAGATTGGCTGCCAGCTGTACTAGGGGAACAACCGCGGCACAGCAAATCGAAGTCTACAGCAACCCAAACAGAGAAATCTGCGTCAGGTTGAGTCATGGCGCTAAGATCGAACCTGTTAAAGGTGTTCAAGACAGAAAAAACCACAGCCAAAAAGTCGATTCCTGAATCCCGCTCAAGACAGATGACTGCCTGCGAAAGTCGGTCAGAGTCGGCATTTCACCCTTCCGGCTCCGTGGCGTGGTCGGCTTTCTAGTACCCTGGGCAACCGCACGCTCGAGGATCTCTGGGATTGTGAAATATTAATGCGGAAAGTCCGCGAATGCAGAAACCCGAAACCTCAAATCGGATCCTGTGCTAGACATAATATGGGTGATGCTGCGGCTGATGCTTAGAAACTTCACCAGCGCTTGAGCTTGGGGATGCTGCAATTAGGCTGATGCGGACGGTTGCAGACACTTGCCACTCGCAGTCGCAAAACTAAGCGTGGAGCAAAAGTCGTGTCCCAGGCATGCACGGTCACCTGCCGGCCAGGGCATATGGACCAACAGCACAGCAGACACAGAAAAGCAGTACAAGCGTGTCAGGATGGAAACATTGCTCATCACGCTGATCGAAGTGGCCTTTCCCTTGATCAGGATGAAAGCGTCGTTGCCTCGTGGCTTCTCCCGAAGCGGAATTCCAAGCTCGGGATTTGCATGCTTGGCCACCGCGCCTGGATCGTTTTGTCGAAAGATGACCTGCCAAGCTTTCACAATGTGAACAAGCCAAGGTTCTTTGCGAAGCATCCTCACCAGCCAGCTGCACCATGGATGGTTTGCCAGTATCGGGCTTCCATGAAACATCCCCCTCCAGCCTGTCCCTGCACCTCCGTCGTGAACTCTGCTGACTTTGCCAGCCTCTGAAGTCAAAGGGGGTTCCAACCGGGTTCGAGGCCTGGCATCACGAAACGATGCACATGCAAACCTGCGGCCACAGCTCACAGGCAACTACGTGAGTCTCAAGGATGCCGAGAGCTGTTCCATGCCGTCCCTCCCATACGAGTACCAGCCATGACGCCAGATCTAGTACTCAAAGCAAGCATTTGAAGCATTCAGTCTGCTCCTTTGCATGCAGATCACCTGGTAGCAAGAATGAGCATATCACACGACGCCCTGCCAAAGTAGTGTTTGGATGACCTTCAACTGCCCGAGGCCTAGGATTGCAAGAATGAAGTTTTCCCCAATCTGACTCTCTAACACTTTTTGTCAGGTGGACACGCCCCCATGGAGATTGCTCAAGCTTTGCCCAACTGGTCAAAGCCACTATTGCTTGAATGGCAATCACCGCCCTGACTAGGCCTTGCTGCTCTGCAGGCACAGCATCACAGATCGGAGATGCCAGAAACTAAAACCCAAGAGATCTTTGATGCTTGGGACAAGTGAAACACGGTCAAGGTACCGCAGGCGTGGGAATGTTGCCGTGTCTGGCAACACACTCTGGCAGCTAGCCTTCAATTGTGCTGGGAGCTATCTCTCGCCTGCGCGCCCTGGTGGTGCGAAGATGAATCAATTGGATCGTCAGGCGTGACAGTCGGAGCCAGAATCACTATGAACGGAAGCGAAAGAAGGCGAATCACAGCCTTCGAGATGACACCATGCGGCAAGTAGTCGAAGTTTCCATCAACAATGCCCCAAAACTCTGCCAACGCAACACCCAAATATTTTCCACAGTCCATTCCGATGTGCTGGGTTGTCATTAGCATGGCGAACATTGTTGCCTCCAGGTTTGATGGGCATACCTTGTACGCCAGCACGGCCAAGGGAAGATAAAGCGTCTTTGTAACAGCTTGGTCAAAGGTCTCGTCCCCGAGATAGAACAACAAATCGGGAACTCCCAGCACCTTATTCCATCGCATCACTAAGATCAGGTCCAGAAACTGGCTGACGATTAACAGAGATTGCCCAAGCAAAAAGATGCTTCGATACTTCCACCGTCTCAAGAACCTGTTAAAGAATAGGACACCCAGGAATAAGCCCACAAAGCCGAAGCAGTCTGCCATGCCCAAAAGCTGCGGAGTAAACTTTGGGCCGTTGTCAGCTTTCGACATCCACACGAACATCGATTCTCCCAAACCTGGTTGCAAAAAAGTCCGCAGAAAGAGGAGAGAGGCAGTGTTGGATAAGCAGGAAGAAATGCTTCTCAAGCCGCTGTATGAAATCCAAAGAACCAGAATGCCACAACAACATATCACAGTTGCCCTAGCACGCCAATCCTGCATGAAGATCTGTGTAAGGGACAGAGCCACCGCAACGATTGCAAGGAAGATTGCTGCAGCTGCGAGGTTGGAGTTCCTACTAAGTTTCTCTGGCTTAAAACTGCAGCAGGCAGCAGGGAGCCGCTCTTCTGGTAGCCATCTTCTCAATGCCGGAAAGAGCACGGCAAATGAACAGGGAATGTTGCTCATAACTGTGCTGCGCGGACCAATGCTTGCAACAAGCACTCCCTTGAGGCCGCTGGAAGCCATGCCACAAAGTGCCTGGGACACACGGAATGATGTTGTTAGGTCACATGCCTCGGCAGGATGTTGCTTTGCCAGGCCGGCAGCAGTGGCATCGAGAACCAAGTCTGACATTGCGATTCCCAAGTTGATGCAAGTCATACATACAAGCAATGCCGATGTCGACAAGGCAAAGAAGCCTATCCACAAATACATCAGGATGCAGAGGCTGCACATGATGACAAGGTACGACGTGCGGTGGAATCCAAACAGGGGCACACTGTCTGAAAGCATTCCCAGCACCGTTTTGAGATTCCAGGGCATCAGGGCAGCCGTGTGCAACCTCCCAATGGTTGCACCATCAAGCTTCAACTCATCCATCATGTAGTACTTGCACGCAAAGTCTTGAGAGTTCCTGGCGAAGCTCTGCTGCAAACCATAAGACAACATGGCAAGCGGCATGAAGGAGCCAAAGGTGGCATACAACATCTGGAACCAGCCGACCAGTGGAATCTGCCATGGACAACCACCTCCTTTCTTCGACTCGGTATCGTGCTTCGATGCGTTGGCCTCACTGCAAGTCTGAGGAGCTACCTCCAGCTCCTTCTGCCCCAGTAAGACTGGCAGGTCGGCAGGAGCATCATGGTTTTTGTCGGTCATTGGGACGACATTTGGAGAGACATCCATGCCGACAAAAATGGCCCCCAACAACTTTCAATAAACCACAATGTGTTTTGTCGTGGATTGGCAATGGTTCTGCATGTTCATCGTCATCTTTATCTGTGAGCCAAATACACCCCCTTCACAACACGAAGCGAAGCATCAACATGATCCACGCGGTCGACACACACCATAGATGATCAGCATATATATTCAACCCCTGCGTGGCAGGAAGGCCCAGAACTCAAGTCAAGCCACCGTTCAATAGAATACAGCTTGAGGAAAGCAAACGACAGAGTGCGACCCGAAAGGTCCGCCAAACACACATGGGGCTCTTGACAATTGAGGAATCTACACCAAGACAGCTGAGAGCCCGTGCGTGTGGATGACGCCGGGAGTGGTCTCCTGGCATCCACAAAAAAATGCCTCAAACGAATGTTCTTCCCATGCCCCTGAACTGCCCTGCTCATGTCTGGCGACCCTCGACCTACAGTGCCAGACCCGAGCCCCAATCGAACTCCAAGATGGGCGTAGGGGATTCCAAGCCTCCATCTTGTTGAAGAAGTCCACCTGCAGAAAATGATTGTTTGCAGCCTTCCCTGCACTCCCTCCACCAAGACCATGTCTAACTCTCTGGGGAGCGCGCCGACTGCAAGAAGCCAACAACCTTTGCAACGTCCACAAATTCAGACAGCACCTGCAGCTCAAGAGTCAGAGTGGCCGCTCATCTCTCCTGCTCCAAATCTAAGTCTAAAGGCTACTTCGCTACTTCTGTTCACTGTGCATCACTTGCTCAAGACTGTTGTCCATGCGCTGCCACAGGCCAACCTTGCGAAAGATCTTGGCATTAACGAGAAGAAGCTCGCAGTCCGTCAGACACCTCTGGGCCGAAGCAGCGGCGTTGGACTTTCAACATTGTGTGGTGTTGGGTCTCACCTGCCCATGCAGGCCACGTTTGGCCAAGGTCACCAGCAGTCTTTCCGCAGCGTGCTCTGAGCCTCTGCCTTAGGAAACCATCCTGGAAACCTCGAAACCCCACGCTGCACAACAAAACCTAAGCCTAGTCAGCAAACCTGCCAAGATGAACTCCCGACGGAAAGGCCTTATCGAGGCACTCCGCGGAGCTTCGGACAGCAGCGCCATCTCCTTGGAGGGCCCAGGACGTCCGCCTTGTACAAAACAAACCTCATCCCAAACCCCCTCTAAACCCTCCTTGCTTCCGGACTGCGAGCGGTCAAGGGGCATGCAGCAGTAGCTCCCATATGTCCCACCCTGAACCCTAAAACACATGTGTGAACCCGAGGCCCCAAAAAGGCCCCGGCACCGAAGACCGAGCCAGGCTCCACCACATTCACCTGGCATTAGCGGGGCGAGCACGAAGCCCTTGTTACGCATCAGGCTTCTCAGTTCTCTTTTGCTAAACCCCATTTATTCCAGGCTTTGGTGAGCGTGCAGGGAAAGAGCTCAGGCTGCCCAGGTTCATTGTAAACCCATCGCAGACAAGCACACCACATGAAGTAGACCGAAACACACGTGCACGTAGTGCTGACTGTGTTAGCACTTGCGTCACAGCATCGTACATCGGAGTAGGTACAATATCAATCAAGAGCACAGTAGAAAAAATTTGGAACATCTCGGATGCAAGAAACCTCAAATCCCTAGCTCCCCCCCGTACCCACACCCTACCACCCGCAACGAGCCTGCTCCCCGAGGCAGGACTCCTCAAAATAAATGCAGGGTCTCGGCTCTGAGTTCAGCTTGGGGGGAAACTTGAGCCCCTTGAATCTGAGCTGCGAGGTTTGACATGGTTTGACTCGGCTTGACACACTTTATGAGCCATTCTACCACATCCTCCGTGAAGATGCTGAAGCCTTCAACTGTGGCGAAGACCTTAGGGCAGAAGGCGTCGCGAGCCCACTAGTCAGCATGTTTTCGGAAGCTTGGCATCTATGCACACGTGCCGAAGCATGCCCGAGACAAAGGTTCCAGGCCGTCCGGCCCAGGGCATCCAGCATCCTGGTGCGGAAACCATGCTTTTCCCTGTGCATGCGGCCATGCTATCACCCAGGCCACAAAGTAATCTCGCCTGGCCTGGCTGCGTCATCACGCTTCTTGACCTGCCTGGTGCCAAAACTCTGCGTGATGGAACAACGCTCCACTGAGTTTTGTGGTAACCCTGCCTTGCTGGGATCTTCTCTCGGATTTTCCAGGACATTGCGGAACAAGGCCTCCAGGTGCGATCCTTGCTGCTCATGAAAGAATGCTGCGCGTGTGTGCCTGCTGTTGATCCTGGACCAGATCGTCCTCACACAGGCTGCGACTAAGCACCCCCAGCCACTCCAAATATTTGGCTACTTTACTCACTTCCAAATCAACGGCTCTAACACTCAGCACCTGAAAGCAACAGAGCTTCTTAGCTCCCAAACCCATCGCGCTCCTGTCCCCTTCAGCCATGGCCGACTTCTCAGCCGGGTCCCTGCAAGAACCCATGCCAATGCTGGACATTCATCCAAGGACGCATGGATTCAGGCTCAGGAAAACTTTCATCATGTTGAAGCTGCGGTCAAGCTTTGAGTCTCCCAAGCCTGGCAACATCAAGACCCTCTGGCAGCTCCCACGCCCGGTGTGAGTTGCGCCTCCAAAACATGGAGTTCACCAAACACTCCATCTTTCCCAAAAGAAACGACACTCGCCCTGCCTTTGCCCGATGCCGGTCGTGGGCGTCACCTCCGGCGGCTTGCCACACATCCCTTCCATTCTCTGTGAGGCGAGCCACGTGCCCGCACAATCCCTTTTTCGGAAGGGGGAGTCATGCACTTGTCCTTTTTTGTGTCGGAGTCGCAGCTGGGCAGTTAGGGAGGGGAGGGCTGGGCAGCTCGGGCTCGCTGTCGCAAGTGCTGTCGCGCCGGGGGGCTGGCGAAAGCGAGCTGCGCCGCCACCGTCAGTGGTGAGCGCAGTCACACGGCCCGGGCCACAGGCTGCAAATGCGCCAAAACAACCCCCGGGATGGGCGCGACAATCCGGCGCCTGCTAAGCCAGCGGGGCCCAACTCGCCAGATGAAGGCTTCAGGCCAAGTTGTTAGGCAAGACCAGCGGACATTTTGTTGCACGTGTCTAGGAACTCGGCTTAATGGCAGAACAGATACAGAAACACAGGAGCCCGGGTATGTCTTTGCACACTTGTTCTTGTCTCTGTTACACTTTCTTCACAGGTCGATCCACACGCGCACTCCGTCAAATCAAAGTGCAAGCTTGCATGAGTAGCCGCCTGCACAAACGAAGAAAGAACACAGATTACATCAACAATGCTGCTGATCCAAGTCGAGTCAAACCCCCCCCCCCCGACCCAGCCCGACGACTACGAGGTGGCAGCGCCGTGCCCGCAGCAGTTCGTGGAAGGGCAAGCTGCACAACGTGGCCTACTAAGGGGAATTCCAACCTGGGCAACTGCAAGTTTAGTTTAGCGTCACGTTCAAAGCAATGCAGATTCAGAATGCATGTCGCTTCTGCTTCGGACTCCCTGCACCTATAGCTATGTGCGCCCGCTTCCGGGGTTACGCGCTGGCCTAAGCGACAAGGAGCACTCCCACCCGTGAACCTGCCAGGCCCCTAGCAAGACTGCCCTGTCACGAAATTCTGATGTGCGGGCAACGGATCTACGGTGAGGTGAGGGACAAGAATCAAGCCCAATAAAGCGTCTGCCCTCCATCCTAAACCCTGTTTGGGTCTCCCTCCCCCTACATCGCCTCGGCACGCTTCGCCTCTTGCGCTTCTCTGGCCAGATGCCTGGATCTTGGGTTTGCCGAACTTACCTGCTTGGTGAACCAAGGCCTTACCCACAGACCGATCAGCACAAACACAGCCGGCCAGATGACTTAATCTTAGGCAGGTTGTAACTCATCATAGAAACACTGGCAGCCTAAATCTTTTTAAGCTGGGTGGATGACCGGACTTGAGTGAGAGTCCGCGGCATGTGTGCCTGCCACGGCACTGGCAGAGCAGAAGCTTGATGCTGAGCGATGACTATGACTATGACATGCTGTGACTGGTTTATGAGGGTTCTTTCATGAAACTGGAAGAGGTCATACCCATTGATTGCAGCATGATGCCGACCTTGAAGCTTTTAAGCAACCCAGCTAGACATTAAACTCAGTGCAGGGGGCCCATGTCGCTGTTGTGCGTGGGCACAGCTGTCTCAGGGTTGCGTCTGCTTATTCAGGGCGCACATCATCAGCTTCATTTAGCGTCCATCATCGTCCATCTAAGCCCTGCAACGAATCTGCCCATTTCAATCTGCCACGCCGACGTCGGGCCCTCGAGGGCTGGGGGCAGCATCTGCCGGCCGAACTAGCACCTCAGCCAATCCACGATGTGCCAAATCCAGTCATTTACCCATATCCGCCGAGGCCTTGGGCCGTAGGTGTCTGGGTAGCACAAAGCAGGCACCCCACCACTAATCCCCGCCACCCAACACCCCCCAGCCCCCTGGTTTGGTTGCCTTGTTACAGAAGCTCAGGCCGAGGCGGGTCGCGTAGCGTTAAAATTACGAACGCACGTTCATTGCTACCACCCTCACGTTAAAAACCCAAGCAAGCTAAGGGATTCAATTTTTGGGTTGCCAAACTTGAAGTCTTTGGTCGGGAAGTTGCACTTGCACCCTTTTGCACCACGATCCGTGCATGAACAATTGATCTCGCCTCAGCAAAACATGCAAAACGGCCCTGCACGATTTGTGGCCTTGCATCATGGCAAGCATTATACGAACCTTGACTTATCATTAAGAAATGATGGAACAACTTCGAAAGGAACAATGCACCTTGCAACATGATGGCTGCAACCACGCGGGCAAGACTTCTGAAATGCTTGAGGCTTGTGTGGTATGATCGGTTTTCCGGGGGCCACATCGACCTCAGCTCCTCACCGACACGTTGCCTCGGAGAAGAAGATACACGCCTTTCTTCGTCCGCGTTCACCCTTCTCCACTCGACGACTGGTGTCAATGTCTCTTACTCATCATTCTTGCAATC